GGCAACCCCTCTATTTGCTCTGTTATGATACTCTGTCACCATCTCTGGCGAACAGGAGAGGTATTAGTGTGCAAAAATAAACAATAAGATGAACTCTTTTTAATTTCAAAGCTGGTTTGTGATTTGGGTGAGAGTTTGATTCAGTTTATATTTTATCCAAGCCAGTGCATTCCTTTCTAATTCAATAGTTCTGACAGAATGAGTCTTTATTGGCTAATTTGCATCCTGATGAGAAATTATTTGGAAGAGGTAGGCAGTGGAAGCAATGTACTACACATACCTGGGACTGCATGAAATAAATGCCACGGCCGTCTCATTTCTTTTTAATGTTGCATTTATGTCCAGTTCAAAACCTCCTTTTGCCATGGTTCTCTGGCTGAATAATTTAAAATCCTTTTAGTTTGACTCCAAGATTCCAAGTTATGTAAATCTTTTGTCTCATACTAGAAAAAACTGGATAATGGTTGCCAAACTGCATTTCAGTCTCTGCAGTCTTATTATAATCAGCCACTCAAGACTGGCTTTTCTAGTCTATCAACTGGATTATTTACACCTTCTAATTTCTAAAGTGTAACTATAGGTACCCATCCTGTTCCCTGGTTGCCTAGCCCATAAGTTAAAATAACAAAATAAGCCTATAAATATATTCACCTTAGCCCAACCCCCTCCTTAACAGCCTTTGGAAAGGTGTGTGTTGGGGGAATGTGCATTGCAGCTTGCCTGAAGAGTTAACAAATCTCAGCTCTGGAATACAAAGGGGGAGAAGCAAGTTCCAAAACCAAGGACCTCTTGCAAAGAACGTACTGCCAGCAGCAGGATCAGGGCATAGCAGTAAGAGCTCTCTCTTACCATTATTCCATACCCTGTAACCATTTCAATATTTGTTATGGCTTTCGTTAGCCTTATTTTTAAGACAACACTAAAGGGTTATATGCATGCATGTGTGTTTAATATAAATGATAATCTGCAGAAGTACAATTTACTAGGTTCTGTGAAGGAATTATTGGCACTGAGCTCTTGGGAAAGTTGCAACACTGGAATTTAAAAAGAATTTTTTTGTAACGTATTTGAAAGTTTTCCATTCATCATGATGATTTATTGATCATTCTATGACTATGGTATAATTAAGCATACAAAGGCTTGGCAGTTATAGCAGAGGCATATCCTTTTAGAAAGGCTAACAATGTTAACCCAAGGAAATTCCAATCTGAGATAGAACTCTACAGGGTCATATATAAGTTCAATGTAATAGATATGAATATAAATGGTACCATTTCCAAAAAACAGGTACATGACCAGACTATAAACATTGAATGTATGTCTCATTAGATCTGTTATTTATTAACTGATTTATTAAAAAAATCCCACCACCCTACTTCAATTTTAACCATTTTTCATAGTTGAATAAAATCAGCTATGCCAGATTCATGGATATTCATGTTCCTAGCATTCATGGTCTAGAATTAAATGGAAATACATAATTCTGAAAAGAATCTTCAAGTTTTGTGGAAAATGACATCTTGACATGCCACCCCCCAGTTATGAAGAAGAGCTCTGTATCAGCTCGAAAGCTCGTCTCTTTCACCAACAGAAGTTGGCCCAATAAAATATATTGCATCACTCACCTTGTCTCAGCTATGAAACAAGTGGCTATCTGCTCTCTAAATGAAGTGTTATTGTTAAAATAAAGTAAACGGTGTTTTAAAGCAAGGAACACACATCTTCATAGTAAAACTCAAGTTTGTTTTACAATTAAGGAAAAGTGACATTGTCCCCAACCCTTCCCACTCCCAAGTTTTTTATATATATATAGAAAATATTTTAAAAGAATACAAAATGTTATACTTAAACATATATTAATTAGTACACTTAAATATAGCTTAATTATATTTACAGTATGCTGCAGATACTTTTAATTTTAATGCCAACTTCAAGGTTTCCCAAAAAACATAACATTATATAAATATACAATAAATATTTGTTACACATGGTGAATAATAGAGAACTGTTCCACAGACATTAACTTACATTTGCACGAAAGTCTTTACTTTAACAAAGCAATAGGCTGCTGACATGAATGAAATACCTTTGCCACAGCAAGACTTCAATTGAGTGACTTTTTAAAAAATGTCTCATTTCAACTAAAACTGCCAAGCCTGGGATCATGTATGTATTAGGCCTGCATGTGACAGCCATGGAACCATATTGTAATTAATTGCCTGGTTCATCTTACAAAAATTGTAATTACCAACACTTTAGGGAATAATTTGTACCACATTAATATACTTGCATAGAAGATTAAATTTACTATTCCTGTCCCAAAAAAAAAAGTCTATGGTTTTTTTTAAATGTACAATTATTAAAGAAAAATAGAAGTCAGATTCTTCAACCTTTACTCACTTTGTTTAATAAGCTACTCCATGAGACCCATTAATTTCAATTACTCAAGAGTAAGAGTGGCAGAATTTGTACATGGATCAATGTACAGTATTTTTAAGACTCTACAACATATAGTCCCCACATCTGGCCCAATCCTGGGTGAGAGTTTTGTTTGAGTAAAGACATATCTATAGATAATTTTGCAAGTTCACTATCTTTGTTCTTTCTAGTATAAATTATATTTAAAGAAACAGTCACTTCTCTCATAGAAACTTATTAAAGTCAATTAGAATTTATTATTTTCAATCTTATGTCCAAATTAGATTCCTGTCATGTTCTATCTGTCCTTCCACTGCCAAGTTAAAAAATAGATAATACATCTATACTCTGCTTAATTTCACCCCTTCCTGTTTCCTACATGGCTGCCTTTTTTAATTTTTATGGTTTGAAAAATATGACAAAATAAAACCATTGTCACATCTAAAGTTAGACCTCAGTAGAGTCAGTTGCTCTTCTTGGCTAAAATTCCAGCTTCATTAAAGTCAATGGCAAAACTTTCATTGACTTCAGTGGGGACAGGATTTCAGCCCTTCTGTCTACAGAAAGAGTATGGAAATACTTTTGAGGTTGCAATTGCTTCATATAGTATTATCAGGGCTATGAAAAAGAAGGATATTTAACATACACAAAACTGATGATGGACCAACTGATTTGAACAAAATCAAATCCTCTCCCACCCAACCCTTCAGTTTGTATAAAGCAAACTCAAACTGGAGCTTTGAGATGTTCAGGTAAGTACTTTATTTCTAGTTTTCATCTGGGAGCAGCATGCCTGTAATCTCTCCATGAAGCCTGAAGTTTGCAGCTTCAAGAGGTTCAGATAAATGTCTCTCTCTTTATTCCTGTGGATTTCCACAGTTGCAGCAGCACACTTCTGCTAACAGTCCCTAAGCTTAAACATATTGAGGATGGAGGAAGAAGTTGTCATTGAGCAGGTGGGGCAGCTAAATTCTGGTAGTCATTTCTTCTGCGGAACTGACAGATCCAGAGTCTGTTTACCTTTAGTATAAAGACCATTTATTTAGTCAATCCTTGGCTGACAAGGATGATTGGGTTAATTTATGGGATAATGTCTATTTGTATATTGATCAACTAGGTGGGTTATTGGGTGTTGAACATATGTCCAGGGATAATTTGTGAGAAGGGAGTACATTTTACAATAAGCCTGATCGCTGGTGATTTAAAATAGAGATGCAAAATAGGGCACAAATTTTGCTAATATTAAATTCTGGATGAAGTATAGCAAAATTTAAGTGTTTTTGTTTTACCTATTTTTTTCTCTCTCTTTTCTCCCACCTACTTGAATCGCCTACAAAGCTGAACTATTGGGCTAATAGACTCACTAACTACTGGTTACTTGACTAGAGGGTGAGCTACTTTCCCTCACCCTAGAATGCATGTTTCCCCCACTGTATTCACTTCAATTGCTGTACTTAGTCCTTACCTACATTTATCCTTTGTTTAATCATCTTTGCTCTGTTTTTGAGTTTCTAACTCAAAAATACGGATTTCATGCTATTGGACTACTAGGACATTGCTGCAATTAGATATTCACGTCTAACTGGATTTGGTGTTAGTTATCCCAACAGTGACTATCACACCTACCATTTTTTTACAGTCTTATTTATTCATGATGCTATTTGTTTAGTGGATTAAAGCTGCCATGTACTGCGCCTTTAGATGTAGAACCTCTTGAACGTATCCAAATATATTCGGTACTTAAAGTTAGAGGTAGAGCCCTCTTTCTACTTCATTCCAGAGCCACCCCTCCGGAGTCTTTCAGGCCTGAATTCTCTCAATTTCTCAAGTGCTATATTTCCCAGAAACAAAAGGGATAGAGCACATTAGATGTTTCCTTTGTCATCAGTGGAGAATTAGGCTATAGTACATACATCAATATGCAGGGCAATGGCATTGCTCTGCTGCTGAACACATGGTGCCAAATTCATTGCAGATTTATACTCACGCAGCCCCACTCAAACCAATGTGTTGTAACTCATAATTGAATTGGGCCCACACTGTCCAATCCTGTAGCCACTCTGATCTACGTTTACTGTACTCTGTTCAGACCACATTATCGTGACATTTTATTGTGCTTCAACAAAACGTTTGATCCAAGCACAAAAAGTCTTTTATTACATTTTAAGTAATTGCTCTCAACACTCTATATGATATTTTCAATATGACAAGCTTTAGTCATATGGTGAGGAGTGAAATATTTTAGAGATTGCAATCAATTTCCTGCCCAAGACAGGAAGTGGGGGGGGAACTCCAAACAACCCCTCCACCAAACCTCACCCCCCACACAAACCAATGTGATATAAGCAAATGCAGTTTTTTCAAAATATAGCCATCAAAAAAAAAAAAAATCATGGAGCCAGTTACACAAGTACTGTCCTTAAGCCTGCAGTTCAGCAATGTGAAGCAGAACATCAGCATTCTTTTTCAGTTGCCTCTTTTTTTTATTTATTTATTTTGTCAGTAGCCTGATTCAATATTGCAAACACCTTCACAACATACAAAAAAACCCCAAATTTGTTTTATCCAGAACATATATCATAACGATTTTTTTTCTTTTTCCAACCTCGAGGGAATTTAAAAGTAAAAAAATAAAACAGTAAAACTATGACAACAGCACCTTGACATTGTTTTAATTCCAACGCTATCAGAAGTTAAAAGCAGTAAACAGATATAATACTAACAGGAATAAAGATACTTACTGTCTAAAATGTAAACGGAATGTTTTGGTTCAAATTTTTTTTCTGAAAGAGGACAGTTTATCATCAATTCACAATTGAAGCAGCATGCAATTTTATTATTTTTTTTAAACTTTTTACGTTTTCGATTCTTGGCAACGGCAACAAACCACAATGTTATCGAGGAATGTAATGCAGAGACTTATTTGTTTTAGTTGTGCGCAAATGACGTTTGTTCCCCTTCAGGTCATGGATATGTTCAATAAATAGATTGTGGAACCACTGTACTGTATAAACTTCAGTTATACATGCAGTCCATAAAATTATTATTTTACTGAATAATTTACCCTGTTATGTATATATACAAATAGATAATTTTATCTCAATATAATCTATACAACATGAATCCACTATCTTCCCCTTTTAATGGTCAATGTACATACACAGGAAGTGTCTATTCTTATAAACCGCCAGCCAACTCTCTTTTTGTTATCCATGGTGAGAGCTCGCACATAAGACTGGGTAGTTCGGCACTGGGAATTCCAGTGCCTCTTGTCTATGCCCCTGCAACCCTCTTTTGTGTAACCTTTGGGATTGCATTTGGTCTCATAGAAGTATTGCTTCAGTTGGCCTTTGGGTACTGGGACTTTTTCCAGGACCGTAACCGTTGCACCAGACATGTCCACTGCAGTCTTTTTCTCTGCTGCTGTTACCCACTCACTAGTACTGTCACACACGCTTAGCTCCCCACGGCGAGCAGGGTCAGAGTGGCGCCGGACCCTCATGGACATATTTGCAGCATCCAAGTAATTTTTGTACTCCTCAAGCAGAAAGAGCAATGGGGGCTCCAAAGGCACTTGACTGCTTAGCATAACCCGAGATGTGTACAAGTCGGCATCCTTGTTTTCCTCACTGGGCTGGACGTCCTGTTCCTCATCTAGAAGCTCCTCTATGACATGTTCAAAAGTGTCTGCCAATGAGGTCAGTCCTCTTGAACCAGTGTTGGGCCCACTTAGGCTCTCCAGAGTCCCATGGGTCCGAAGACCTGGGTAAGCCAAGCTGCCTAGTCCTCTGACACTTGCTTCTTTCATAGGGGCAGCTTTCATGCAACTGAAGTATGAAATAACCATAGTAAGGAAAAGGATGGTCATCACTCTTCTTACTTGGTGGAACTGTTAAGGACAAGACAAAAAACAGAGATTTAAAATTTCATAGGGGCCAAAACAAATCCATATCCATTTAGTTGACCTGAGAGGAGAAAAGTTTACTCATGTAACAGCTGTTATGAACATCAGTTGCACAAAGGTGCAGATTAATATCAATGGTGCATTATTGTTTCTGTTTTATAAAGAGACACTCAACATTTGTCCCTTGATTTATATCTTCAGCTAACACGTAAGCCAATGAAAAGGCAACCCTGCCCAAGGTCCTTCACTAGTAAATGTCACACTTCAGATACTATATCGGTTTAAGATTTAATGACCTACCATTTGTTGTGCGAGTGTAACAGCAGATTAGAAATGGCACTAAACATCCACAGTACAAGGGTAAGAATTTGAAAAGTGTCAGAGATAGCTGTGTACTTGTAACAGACAACGTATTTTAACCCTGATGTTGAATTTGAGATGTAAAGTCGAGCTACCTTCTCTTGTGCTACTAAAACAAATTTGAGGCTGTGTACATCACAACATGAACATTCTGGGCAAAAAGTAATTAGCTATACATTTAGTCCCTATCTATAATGCAGCTTGAACTGTGCTAACAACAGCCATACTAAATAAAAGTTGCTCTGCCAGAACCCTCTCCAGCAACTGTTCCTGTGTGGTTGTTGCTCATGTGGGTCAAACAAGATTTCCATTTTGAGTGCAGGCACAGGTATTTTATTCTGAGGTGTGTTGTGGCCCAAACCGTGTCACAGCCTGTCTGCCTGAGGTTGTCTATAGCACATGTGGACACAACCACCATAAGCTGTACTTTCAATCACCAATAGAAGCTATACAATTACTGAGCATTGGCAGGCCTACTTCTGGCCTAAAAGTAGGTGTGTACAGAAATTGACTATGCAACCAGACAAACCATCACAGAGTTATAATAAACACTTAAAATGCAGCCTAAGTAAATAAATTGTTTGTATCATCTGAACGTGATGGAAATGTTTCAACACACGTTATATTGAAAGGACAATAATAAAATCACTGTATGGTAACTGGCAAAGGCCAAATCCTACAGTCTTTATTCAGGCAAGCTAGCTGTTGAACTCAGCATTGATTTCAATGAAAGTTTTCCTGAGTAAGAAGAGATAGCATGAACCAGCCATTAGGGCCCTGCCACCACGCCAGAGAGTTTTAAATATCATGACTGTCTGGTTTGCCTTTTGTCTCTCACACTCAGCCCACAGTCTGTGGTGTGAGGTGGGCAAGGTGAGAGAAATGCTTGCCATGTGTGATAAGGCAAACAGCATGCAGTATGGAAGAGGAAGAGTGAGGGAGTGGTTTATATATTATCAAAACCCACAACACACACCCAGTAGAATTAACAAAATGTAGTCCTATCAGCACCTCAGAGAGTCTGCTTGCATGTCTGCTTGCATCCACCTACCCTTTGTTTTGTCTTTTCAGATTATAAACGCTTCAGGGCAGGAACTGTCTCTTGCTATGTATGTCTGTACAGTTCACATTTTAGATGCTACATTGCACCTTTTAGGTGCTCCTTTAATAAGAAATCTATACAATCCCTGAAACCCCTCAGTGACAAAGAGAGCTGTGTTTGCTGATCTGAAAGTGCTGCTACAACATCTTCTGAGTCCACTTGTTACTTTTTCTCCCTTCCGATCCCTGCTCATGCCAGTTCACTGCTTGCTAGAAAGCAATGGCATTGTTCACATTTTTGAAGCAGCAGCTAATGTTCATTTCAGTGCTTTTGAAGTTCATTCGGAAGTACCTCATACTTGGCATGCACACTGGAGTAAATGCTGTATTTGTCTGGCAACAGGGTGCTCTGTAGAAGTCTTACTTCATCTCCTACAAATATTCTGTGGGAAACCAGTACTCCCAAAATCGCAAGTGGAAAAGACCAAACTAAAAAGCTCACATGCTAGAGGGACACTGCCCAGGTTTTAGGGCCCAACATTCACTTAGTGAAGGGTTATTTCTTTCAAGAGGAATTTACTTGAGGGGTGAGTTGAGCTGGGGAGATCATCATGTCCAAGTCATCCTTCCTGTTTAAGTGTGTCATTGTGGCACAGACCCATTGAAATTAAACAAACCTGATGGCTGTGACTCACAGGAACATAGTATTTCTTCTAATGATGAGGAACAAATCTCTTTTGTACATAAATAGTGTTTTTCATCCTTTGGATCTCAAAGCATCTTACAGACTGGGTATCATTATTAATATAAACATAGATTTATCTTACTGGCAGACAGGGCACCTATGGCACTGAGAGATTATGCTCCCATTGGTTCAGCTTCACCCAAGAACGGAGACACTGAAAAATCTGTAAACATTTTGAAAATTCTGCCCTACGGCCTTGGCTACACTCAGGCAGCGCTGAGTGTAGTCGCGCCGCCAGCACTGCGAGAGCTCTCTAGCAGCGCTATATGTACTCCTCCCGCGAGGGGAATAGCTTGCAGCGCTGCGAGTGAGCGTGCAGCGCTGCAGGCTCTGATTACACTGGCGCTTTACAGTGCTGTACTTGCTGCGCTTGGGGGGACGTTTTCACACCCCTGAGCGCAGCAAGTTGCAGCACTGTACAGCGCCAGTGTAGCCAAGGCCTAAGTGATTTGCCCAAGGTCACACAATAAGTTAACAGCAGAGCTAGGAACAGAACCAAGATCTTATGGCTTCCATTCAAGTACTCATTACTGTTATTATTGTTTATATTACAATAGTGCCCAGAGGCCCCAGCCAATATCAAAGCTCCATTGTGCAGGGAGCTGTACAAGCATAAAATAAAAGACAGTCCCTATGCCAAAAACCTTACAGTCTAAATAAGGATTAGACATGCCAAGTGGGTGTAAAACACAACAGGGTGGGGAGGGGAGAAACAAAGGTAAGTGCAATAGGGACACACATATGAGCTAGGTCTACAGTTTGGGGCCTCAAAGTTTGTTTTAAAATTAGGTAAGTAAATGAGTGACCGAATGAATCACTAACAGACTACCTACCTAGGCAGTTTACAGTGGGCATCATGATAGCAATGGGTTTTAAAAAGGGATTTAGAGGAGAAGAGACTAGTGGCTCTGAAAAATGATTTAGGTTATACATTTTACCAGTAGTGGCTCTAGCTGTTTTGCTGGTCAAGGTGGAAAATGTTTTTGGCGCCTCCCATTCCTACGAGTGGCTGAGGGGCAGGGGGAAAGCCAGCCAAAACTGAGTGGCACAGCAGTTCAGCACCTCTGGAAGTTGGCATCCAGGTGATTGCCCTACACCCCCTTCTCCTCCCCCAGAGTCAGCCATAAGAGATAGCGTGGAAAAGAGGCATGACAATGCTTGTGGGAGACCAAAAAAAAAAAAAAGGTTCAATCCATTAGTCCACAGATATCCTCTGCCAGCTGGCCATTGGTCCATGCAGTCTGACAGTGCTCAATACCTACTGCTTTAGTCAGTTACCACCCACAGTACACCCAGAGCCACCGAGAGTGGGTTCGGGCCCTGGTGAAAAATTTTTTTCGGGCCCCCCAGCAAGGGCGGACTGGCTAAAC